CGCGGTAGTCTGCCGTGCTCGCCTCCTTTGCACCAGGAAATGTTGGAGTTTGCGGCAGTACACAAGGTGCTTCCTGTCATAGAGTCTTTTGCTTTCACGGAGAACGGGATCAACGAGGCCATGGAAAAGCTTCGAAATGGGAAAATGCGGTACCGGGGAGTCGTGTCTCGGGATTGGTAGAGCTGACCGGAGGGGATTTTCCAAAGCACATGACGAAAACCCGATCAAACAGAAAGACAAGTGTTACAGGACTTTTGTCTCTCATTAAAGGGACAATGTTTTGAAGGCCTCTTAAGTTGGAAGTAGTCTGAGTATGAAGTTCCGTCAAGGTCATATGACAGGATCTTGTCTTTCAGTGACCTCGGCTAAATGGTAGCAAGTTCGTAAGAGCCAAGCTATACGGGATGCTTAATATGGCTGTATTGATTGACTCGTCCGCACAATATGATCATGAAAGCGAAGATGACGAGTTCTTCTCAGGGGTAGGAGGTCCGTCTCACCTACGTAAATGAGCACACTGTTTCCAACCTGCCTATGCGCCAGCGACTCCAGTTGCAGCGGTGTCAATGCGGATTCGCCGATAATCGTACATCGTACTTGATAACGGGTAATAAGGATCAACGGAACCACAAAAAAACTCCTCGGTCTCGCTTTACACTTACTAGACGTTGTTAACGACTTGCACTTTCTGGTTGTAGGTAGCTCAACGAAGACTGTTATTGAACGAACATATATGATAACTTGAAATCTCACGCCCATAATTAAGCCACCACACCACACCACACTATCATCCGTATCTTCAACACTTCACACCCACGACCGTCGGAAGTCTGTCGCTCACTCACAATGAAGCTCACCATACTCTCTCTGCTCCCTGTCCTAGCAAACGCTGTCGTTATGCAGTGTGACCACGGTTATGAAGGCAATGGAGATTGTGAACGCCAGGGCTTACACACGTTTTGTGTGAGTTTGTCACCTTTCCAAACCAAACTTGGTTCCTAACCGAATTAGTGCCACGACACGTACGCACCACCTGAATTCACGGTTCCTAGAGACGTCAACATCAAATCCAAAGACCCGTGGGGCGCCAATATTTGTAGAAGGGCCGGCACCGTTGTGATTGGCAATATTTACTGCGCGTAAGGGCTCTCCCTTTTGGCCTGGCAGCGAGAAGCCAGTTCTCGGAGACTGTTGCGCCACCGTTTTATTCGCCGATCGGGAAAAACGGTGGCGGCGACCTTCGGCGACCTGCAAGGCTGGATGCCATCTGAGACTCTGGATGCAAACGGTCGGGAGTGGGGTAAAATTGCCGCGATAACTTGGCGAGGCGAAATTATTGGCGCCATGGTTGCCATGGTGCATAAAGGAGGAAATGTTCCGCTTCACATGGAGCACAAAGTTGTCATTTACATTGAAGCTTTGGCCTTGAAGGTGTTTAAGAACAATGAGTCGATGGAAAGGCTTCGCGGTCGGAAATTGAGATGTTGTGGTTCCGTTCCGAAACGAGTATTGCTGGCCGTAAGGGTATCCGGAGACAGACGGTATGAAATGGATGTTCGTCATCCAAGTATGTTGCAATCAGATCACAGCTTGCGTGAATCACGCGGTTCCCGCCACAAGGCAGCCTCCATTTGACTGATTGCCCAGCCAATGAGAACAGACGTGGCTGGATGATCACATCATTACTGCATGGTGCTTTCGAAATGTGGTGATTCACTCTATTGTATCGCAATCTGACCCGATCATCCACCTCAGTTAAAAGATGGCGTTAGCCTCGACGTGGCCAGATGACAGCATCACAACGGCCAGACGAGTGCAGTCACGAATATATGTGGGTTCTTAACCGAAAGTAAATGCCGGCTTTCAATTTTGAATTTGCGGGACATTGGCGAGGCGTGCACCCCACGGACATTGGGGAACGGCGCACAGGTTGAAAGGCTGGAAACGTGGCCAAATCTTTCTTCGATAAGAGTGCAAAAAAGGCGCAGTACCGAAGTCTGGACCTTTCGATAGGCTGTCACATGTCAGAAACAGTTTTAAAAGACGTTGTCCTTTCCGGCGTATGACCCCACGATTTCAAAGTGATAGCAACGTGACAGGGCTACCTTGATAGATATGCCCACGTTCTCCTGCTTCATCACCTTCGTCAACATCGACGGATGTAGTTAGAGGTTGTGTGTGTCGACGTGCTGACATTTCATGGAGAATTCCTTCAGACAGGGCGACTGCACTTGAAAATTCACCTGAGAAATGCCGCAGTGAAGTGCCGATTACAAGTTCATGTATGGCCTGCGAGGACTCCTCAAAAGCTCGTCTGGTGATCCTCTTATCAGATCGAGCGCGTAAGGCGTAAGTTATTAAGTTCAAGAAGTACTGAGTTCAAGCCGTCGCTGGTTAATCTCTGGAGTGCATGACATTTGTTGGTTGGGAAAACCTCTCTGGTTGTGTATGGTTTTGGTAGGGGATGACAGGTATAAGAATGCTGCCATTCGTCATGAATTCTTGTGCTCAAAGTTGCTGATCCAATCTCGACGATGTCGGATACCGCTTCTAGTATCCACGAAGATACTGGTCGCGCAAACCACTGACCATTCGATCACCGTTGATTGAGTGTGTAATCCCAACGAAATGGACATCAACCTGGTCTGGGACCCGGCACGCGGCGTCAACTTTCAAGAGTATGAGGGCGACAAAGCTACGGCCGCCAAAGCTGCGGCCGACAACGAAAAAGCTACCGCTAGACATGTGTCGAACGCTGGCGTTCCTTCCAACCCCGATGCGGATCTCGGCGAAGCAGAGCGGCAAGCCGCGGAAGAGGCGAAAGAGAAGGCTGCGGTAATGAGTTTTAGAATGCACATGTTCTTTCAATTAATTGACAGGATCTTAGGAGCGCAGGTTGCTGCGACGTCTGGACTGGAAGCTCATCCCATGGGTAGAGTCTCTCCCCACAGAGAAAACGCAATGACTTACACATTTTTGAGCTGTGTATCCTCTACCTCCTTGCTTTTCTCGACCGCACGAACATCGGCAACGCAAAGATCGCGGGCATGAACAAGGACCTGGAGCTCAGTGACGGACAATACAATGCCGCTCTAGCCATATTCTTTGTCTCTTACTCTATATTTGAGCCGTTGACGAATATTCTACTCAAGAAACACAGGCCATCTATTTTCATTCCGGTTACGATGTATGTCAGAGACTCCCATCAACACGTCATATCCTTTCTGTATATGCTGACAAGGCAGGATGCTTTGGGGAACCTGTATGACCCTCATGGGATTTGTGTACAATTGGAGTGGGCTGATGGCGGGGCGGTGGTTCTTAGGACTCACTGAGGCTGGCATGTTCCCCGGGGTGAATTACTATCTTTCGTGCTGGTATCGTCGAGACGAATTCGGTCTTCGAGCTGTGAGGTTCGTTGTTCCTTTTGGCAACTCTCTGCTAATATGCAAAGGCCATTTTCTTCTCAGCAGCCGCGCTTTCCGGATCGTTCGGCGGTGCGCTCGCGGCAGGAATCCAACATATGGACGGAGTTGGCAACCTCCGCGGATGGTCTTGGATTTTCATCATCGAGGGCCTTCTGACCTTCGTCTTCGGAGTCGCGTCTTTTTGGATGGTTCATGACTTTCCGGATGAGGCCGGGTTCTTATCCGATGATGACAAGCAGCGTCTCCTTCGCCGTTTGGATGGAGACCAGCAAGCCTCCGCCCGTCGCGAAGTATTCAAGACTCTGTACTTTTGGCAGGCCATGCGCGATTGGAAGACGTGGATGTCGATGGCGATTTACATGGGCTGCGACATGCCACTGTTCGCAGTCACCCTCTTTCTGCCGACGATCATCGACGACCTTGGCTTGAACACTAACACGATTCAATCTCAACTCTGGACGGTGCCCCCCTACGCTGCCGCCGCGGTGTTTACGGTCTTCATGGGGTGGCTAGCCGATAAGTTCAAGGTGCGTGGTATTTGCAACGTCTGCGTGAGCATGGTCGGTATAGCCGGCTTTTCAATGATTCTTGCGGCGGATAGCCCTAAGATCAAGTACATCGGCACTTGTCTTGGGGTGATGGGTCTGTACCCGTGCGTCAGCAACACCATTACCTGGATCGCGAACAACACCCAGGGAGTGTACAAGCGCGGCGTGGTATTAGGGTTTGTCATCGGATGGGGAAATCTCAGCGGTATCCTCAGCTCGTTCACTTACCGCCACCCCCCGTTGTTCATTGAGGGCCATGCCATTGTCATAGCGTTCATGGCCCTCTGTCTGTGTGTGGGGAGTCTGACAATGATGGCACTACTCAGTAGAGAGAACCAGAAACGCGAGCAAGGCAAGAGAAACTGCTGGTCAGATGGAAAAACGCAGGAGGAGATCCATGAACTGGGAGACAACGAGCCGGGTTTCCGCTACACTGTTTGAGAAATCTGATGTGCATCTGGTGAGATCCGGTTTCTCTATACGGATCAGAATCTTGATGCCCGGATTGACGCACATTGGTGCTCTCGAATATTCTTCAGCAATCATTGAACACAACGCGAGAAGGACAGAAAGGAGAAGAAGGAAATACGAAGAGGAAATAGGGCGTGGGTGAGAATGGTATGGGCAGTATGGCAAGGGCAGTGGCGACGAGCCTCACTCGCTTGGGGAATTTCGCTGGAGACACTGGTTTCAACAACCACAGTGTCTGGTTCAGAAGTGTCTGCAAGACTTCGGATTCAGGGGGAGCATCGGAAATGGTATTTGGAAGGTAACTATTCCCTAGGGGTCAATGAATCTAGCCCTTTCGCCACCCTTGCATCTCTCGTTTCTGACCTTTTCCAGCCAGTCTCTACGTACAGTCGACCAGCACTCCGTAAGTAATCCATCGTATCAATCTGCCTTCATTGATCAAATTTGAAGCAGGTCCGAACCGGCTTCAAGACACGTTGATTTCATGCGGCAGGCAAATTGAACTCTAGTTGTAACGAAGGCACATCCAACCCCGAGCATTCCTGCTACTCACCTAAGAGATTTGTTCCAGTTCGGCAGCGGCCTTTGTGCTAATTCGATCGATGTCTGCGTGAGGCATTGCACCTCGGGCTAAGGCAGCCTTACGGGCGTTACTGACGTCGCGGATACCCTTGACGCTGAACAGAATTCCGAACAGGTCGACAGGGATCGCTGACGGCGTCTGAACCATGTCGTAAATTCCCAGTCCGATGCCTGCGCCCTCGCCGATGACCACGAACGCTCGGCCCAAAGATGTCAGACCAGCAGAAGCGAGAGTTGAGCCGCCCATACAATGAGGGCCTTGTTGAGAATCGTCTTCGGGTTGGTGACATCGTCCGTGTTGAACCCGTTAATTTGAGTTGCGTCAAACCAAAAGTTCCGGTAGTAGCAGGAGGCTGTCATGTGCTCTATGCCGTTATAGACGGAATCTCTGGAGCATGACGAGTCCAACATGCCGACCGACTGTAACTTGACAATGCTCATCTTTTCCCTGGGGGCGCCGACTTCTGCGGCTGCCGCGTCCCAGAAATCGCCCTCTTTGTCGCTGCGTAGACTTCAGTATATCGTGTTCTCGTCATTGCTGTTCATACCGCGTTTTGAGTAGTCGGGAGGACATGGCTGAGTTGTGGCAAGATACACCCTCCGCTTTGCATACGTTGCAACAGGTTGTCTCCTCGGTGATCTTGCGGTTGAAGTACTCGTCGCCGTGTATGAGCATGAAGTTGCGGAGGGCCGCCCATGCATTGCTGACGAGATAGTCCGCGTAAATCTTGAAGTACTTGTAGTAGCCGCTGGCCATGATCTCGTCATAGCGAGCGAACAAGTCTTGGAGAATCTGAAGCAGGATAGTGATGGTATATTGCGGTCCACACCAGAGGTCGATCAATCCCGCTTTTGCTTCCAGCTGCTCAACGGTTGTGTACTTTGAGGCATCTGAACAGGTCGGAAGGGGGTTTATCATCCTTGGGATTTGGGGCGTAAGGGGTGTGGTCGCCACCCGAACCGCCGCCTGTGTTGTCATCTTCATCAGGTTCCGGCTGGACTGGAAGATTTGGGTTGGTAGTGGGACCGTCGTCGCCTGTCCGATCTGTCAAGCCGCGTGACGGATTAAGCGACGTTCTCCCCTCATAATTGAACGATTCCAAGATGTAGTTTTCATCGACGTGGTCATTCCCATCAAGGTCCGCGTAGTAGATGCATCACCCAGCGGCGAGACCGTAATAGGCCTTTTTCTCTTGAACTCTCCAGTAAAAGGAAGAGCCACCACCGGTGTCCGGGAAGCCGCGGCCTCCGTTGTACCTTTAGATGAGTCAGTCAGCATTTTGTACAGACAAATTGAAGAGAGTTACTCACCAGACCCATGTGTCACCTGAAAGCTTCTCCATCCAAGCACATCATCCTTTCCGTCACCGTTAGCATCTGCGCAACGGAGATTGGCCTGATTCTTTCTGATGGCAAAGTTGATCTGGCTAATATCGACAAAAACGCCGCTGACTTGTTGAAGGTAGTCACTGACGGTGCCATCGGGTGCGATGCATAAGTAATCAGCGCCATTGTTCCCAGTCAAATCGGCAAAGCGGACAGCCACTTTCATATCCAATTACTGCAGTTCATCGGCAATAGTCGTAGTTCAGTAAGAAACTGTAATGATTGCTGGAAATCATGTAATCTGCTTCGCCAACCAGGGAACTTACGATTGAAACCACCGAGACCTCTCTTATACCCACAAGTCAGGCCTGGAGGAGAGTCTGTCAAATGAGTCCATCCCCGCCTGCCAGTCTGTGAATATTGGTTCAGAAAAACCTCCATGGCATTGGTCTCATGGTTGACATAGATGATATCGCAGTCGCCATCCCCGTCCCAGTCCTGCAGGTGCAGATCCCGACGGTCCATGCTCCGTGGTGGTCGACATATGAGGCCAGGGCTTGGATCCCAGTATCCCTCCGCGTTAATGTCACCAATAGTGCCCTTGCCACGGTTGGTGAAGAGGTTCATTTCTCTCGTTGACTGCGTCCACACATAATCGACTCGTCCATCGCGATGGCCCACCATGTTGCAGTACTTATTGCCGTCAGCCACAATCTTGCTGCCGCCTCCGCTAATATTCTTCCATACTCGCATTTCAAAGCGGTGCTGATCCCCCGCCAATTTGGTGTGCTCCAAATACACGTAGCCTTGCAGCGGTAGGTTTCCGAAGACACTGCTCTGGCCGTTGATGCGGGCAAAATGGATTCGGGTACGGTGGTTAGTACCGCCTATGCCCATATGCGTGGGGTCGGAGGATGCGCTCTTGTAAAACGTCTGGCGCCATGCGACGTTGAGACCATCCCCAACGTACCCCTTTCTGCAACTCCTGGAGTTCGTCCAGATGTACGTTTTTGCCTCCATCATCCACCCACATGGCATCGTCTCCACCCTGTTGCGCCATTATAGTCAGTCTCCCGAGTCACTTTGTCACAAGGATGACTTACATCTCCGTCAATGTCCTCAAAACGAATACCAGCATAGCTTCCCAGTCCCGTGTTAGAAAATCGTCGGCCCAAGTCCTGCCAGTCCTGGGGCATATCGTTGACCCAACCGTTCCGCCAGAAGCGCACGTTTCCCATGGCATCAATCGCCCCATAATCACCTATGTTTTGTTAGTTTGCCTCAAGTATTATTCAGACAAAGTCTAATTACCTCGGCCGTCCCATCAATATCAGCCATCAGGATGCGATCCCGAACAACGCCTTCATGGCTCCTTGTCTTGCCGACGAACTGAAACGTTGGAGCCTTGCACTGATGGCACACCTTATTTAAGTGTCGGACGACAATTTAGGCAGGTATTGCCACATGGGCAAACAGGCAACCACTCAGTAAGCATACATACTTACATACCCCTGAGCTCTTGACATTCTCGGTTTAAAATTTTGGGTCGGCAAAGTTGCCAAAAGACACTCCTGAGGGCAGCTCTTGAGGAGGAACAAACTGACAGGCTGCTTTCTTGCTCAGAGTAAACGAAGAGGGACTTTGACCACTTAACCAGCCAACTCTTAGCTCTCCCACTTTTTATCTTGTCAGTGCTCCTCAAAGCCATCTGTGAGTTTTTAGTGTAAATGAAACTCTTTTCTCCATTTGTAAGTATTGCTTCCATCTTGGATAGGTTACCGCACTTTTAATCAGCTCAGGACGAAGTGGAAAGCTGCACTTATGCCTCTGGCCTTTGCGGCACCCTCCTTCACCTTGACGTTTGTCGAGGCCTATGATCGTGTCTACGCCTATATAGTTTACGATATGGACGTCACGGTATGGGGACCCGGGAAAGGCTACATCGCACCCAAGTGCATGGGGTCTCCGTCCGACCAAATCTGCACCTTCAACGAGTTCATACCTTCGTCGAATTCGGCGAGGCGGCATCTTCTCCCACTTATCATACCTTGGACGGAACCTAGTATTTGACCCCCAACACCATTTACACGATTGGTGATGCCCTTCGGGGCGCCATCAAAAGCGAAAGTGGACAGACTTGGTGGAATGGGCTGTTCCCGTCACGAAAATCGCACACTGGCATCTAGAACGACTTTGAATTCGGCTTCGTCATCGATCACTCGACCTCAGTTGCCTCGCAGCGCGATATCCCAAGTGGACAACATCTCGAAGACGTTGAAGTGGTGCTGGGTGCTGTAAGCCAGAGCCGCGCGGCCCAGCTGAATTCCAAGACTCTGAGCTTGCTGAGTTCCAATGTCAAAGACGTCATCTGGCAGACTGTCGAGAAGGAGTCAGTCTTCGTTGGCAACAGATGGAAAGAAATTGACTGGGACGCGACGATCAAAAAGTATCCGGACACGTCGAAGCCGAACAGTGATTTGTTCAAAGAGGTCACGGCAAAGCTGAAGACTCTTCATGGCAACAATGCTGCCGAAGTGACGGTAAGACGAAAGATGATGAACATGGTTATCTTTGTTTTGGTGGTTAAAGTTGAGACCAAGGTGGGATGCTCCTGTATGGAAGTCATGTGATTAACTGCTTGACTCTGATCTACAGGCTCAAATATTGCTAAGTCTAGGCCAATTACCAGCGACAGAGTCATCATCTTCCATCGCTTCAATAAAAGTCTATATAGTGGATGGTCACACGTGGAAAATACAAGCCTAATGGATCCTGTGGGTTAGTTGCTTCCGCGAACTACTGGCGGAAAGCCATGTTCTAGAAAACTTGTTCATTCGGCCGAGGCTTGGCGCAAACGGTCGCGGCAGATCTCATGTGGATGAATACGGTGTGTATAACAACTTGAGGAAAGTCCGAATGCAACATCTCCCATCCGAACTAGCTGTATCCAACGCCATGGCTTCAGAAAAGATTGTCTTGACAATGCACGCGTTCAAGGCCATTTATTCGGACGTTGACACGGCCCGTCGCGGAGTTCAGCTCGCCACATGTTTTCCCGGCTGAATCCGGCACGAGTTCTGTGCCACCAGAGGGAAACTGCCTGGTCTAGGCCCTGTTGCGCGTTTAGTTTGGCATGTGTCTCACTTCAGCTCCGGGGCTCAAGTCGTCCAAAATGAGGGGGAACTTCATCAATCTGCTTCTTGTCTCACAAAACCGTCAATGCCGAATCATCGGCCGTGGCGTGGCTGGGCCCCTATCTCTTCGAGGGTCATTGTCCAATGACAACAGCAACGATAGTCAGCGCAACCCGCCCTCCAATGGTGGATTTCTCCGCTGGTGGTATGTTTCCTTTCTTGAGTTTGGTTCACTAGCAGGAGCACAAAATGGGAATTGAAGCTATGGCTGAGAATCCCGTATCCGGGATGTCATAGTCCAGAAGCCGGCTTAACAAATCAGCTTAACTTCCCCGAAAATTTGACTGTATTAGATTGCCGTAGATAATAGCATTAGTGGCAATTGGCCATGCTTTCATATGAGCCTCAAATACGGACTGTCCCATTTTCGGAATAGCTGTGAGCCTCATATCCAACTCTTGTGCTTTCAACGTTCGGTCTGTTATCTTACATGTACTCTCGCGAGTTTTCCATAACCGACGAAAACGTAGAAAGGTTTGGAGGCCAGGCCATAGCTCGGCAAAGAGGCTTGCTTTTGGCGTTCCGTTCCGAACTTAATTTTGGAGAGGGAGATAGCAACCCTCGACTCTAGTCCATCTTGAGGCTCTCCGGATTCTATCTGTGAGAGCAGCGACATTATGCCTAAGCATTATTGAGCTCTGCTGATGAAAGACTGATTTGCATTCAGACTTTTGCTTCATCAGTCGTCGACAGTTCCTCTTCACGAAAAGTATATAAAGTGACCCCCTGGCCCTCTGTCATGCGCACTCGATCGAAACCAGATCAGCACTCACGAAATACAACCTCCAGTCGTTCGTCAAGATCTTCTCTGTAGAGTCCATTTCAAAATGTCCACCCAAACCGTAACGTCAAACACAGCTGAGGCTGGGGCTTCACTCTCCAACGACCAGCTTCCTCAGCACTTGATCGAAGCGATGCAGAGGATTTTCCAGAAGCATCCTGGGTACCGTACAAGTACGTTCGATGAACTTTCATCAATAATACCTGGCTAAATATTCGTTTCGATTAGCACACGCAAAAGGTCTTCTTGTAGAAGGCGTATTCACGCCAACCGAACAAGCCAAGACGCTTTCCATAGCGGCCCATTTCAACAACACCTCGACTCCAGTCATTGCACGCTTCTCTGTTGGCGGAGGTATCCCAAGGGTCGCCGACGTCCACCCTTTTGCAACTCCCAAAGGCATTGCGATCCGATTCCAAGTTGATGATGATATCCACACCGATTTGGTCACTCATTCCTTTGACGGCTTTGCTGTGCGAACCGGAGAGGAATTCCTCACCTTTCTCAAGTTTTTTGGAGGCGTTTCAGCGGCACAAGCTGCGCTTGCCGCTGCGAAGGAAACCGGTGGCGACACTTCCAAGGAGCAAGCAGCCCTCAATAGTGCTCAGGCGATCTTCTTCCCTTTCCTGCAAGCCCACCCATCAGCAGAGAAGTTCGCGAATGGATTTGGACCAAACCCCCACAACTACGGTACTCTGCAGTATTACGAGCCCAACACCCATATTTTGACCAACACAGACGGCAAGGTCGTCAATGTCCGCTACATAATCGAGCCCGCTGACGGGGAACATCTGTATGGCAAGAATGAGATAAGCGACCTATCCCCCAGCTACTTGGAGGAGGATCTCAAGCAAAGATTCCCAGAGAAGCCCATTGTTTTCACCATCAAGGCACACATTGCGGACCCCAGCGACATTTTGGACGATGCCACAGTTCCGTATAAGAGTACCACCTATGTCTCAGTTGGAACACTGGAGATCAACAAGGTCTCTGATGACAACGCTGAGAGACAGCAACAGATTGCGTTCAGCCCAACTCCGGAGAAGGGCGGCATCCAAGGCATCATGTCTTCTGATGATCCTCTCATTCAAACCCGTAAGGGAGTGTACTGGATCAGCGCTGATCAGCGCCGGCATGAGAAGCAGACTGAAAGTGTGGATTTCTTGTAGAGGAAGAACGGTGTTCTAACCACCAAGGTATTAATTTTAATCTGAGCAGAAGGTTGTCTTCCAGCTGTATCGGAATAAGAATCAATTGAATGAGATGATGTTTGAATCACTTGCCACGTTCTTGGCCACTCCATCGCAGCCAACATTGTATCTATGCCTCCATGATTCCGCGAGCCCCGTCGACAATCTCCTCAATTATGTCCTCGACTTTTGCTTCAATATCAACTCTCAATACTGTTTCTTCGCCTAAATAGCCACGTGAAGCTTTGGGGCAGGGAATTGAGGCAACAGAACCAAAACTTGTCATCACCTGTGGATCAAAGGGCTTCAACACAGGGAGCTCCTCCTCGTCCTCGTCCTCGTCCTCGTATAGAGGAACAAAGAGAATTCCAATACCATATTCTTCCACGGTTTTTCTGATTGAATCCTTGTGCCATTTCTCCAGCTGGGGATGTGTGACGACCATCAAGGCAAGATTCGACTTCTGCCCATTCTCATCCCCAAGCGAAGCGGACAAGATAGGTTTATTGACATATTTTGTTATCGGAGGGCCCGAGGACATAAAACTTTTCGCAATGCTGGAAGTTGAGGCGGCATCCGAAGTGGTCGATGCAATGGAACTGAAGGAGCCTCGCCGACTCGTCGATGTCGAGGATGTCCCACCAAAGCCAGAGAAGCCCTCATTGGCAGGCCGGGACTCTTCGGGGAACAAAAGACCCGTTCTGGTCATCTTGGAAAGCCACATGCGCTCATATCGCGCCTCATTCGGTCGGACAGCTTCGTCATCGCCATCAGCTCCCGAGAGGCCCCTCGACATGCCCACGGTGGCGGCTTTGGCTGACGTCTCATGCAAGCTGTCGCCTTGGAAGAGCGGACAGGACAGTGCCGTAGCGACTGATTTCGCGATCTGGACTTTGCCTGCCACCGATGTCGAAGCTGTGATGAGAATGATATACTTCGATGGTTTGGTGTTGTCTTGGAGCTCTGTCTCTGGCTTATCAGGGAGACGATGGAGCATCGCCTGCGGCGTTGGTGGCCGGATCGGATAGTCAGACATCCTGCACGCGCCGAAATCTGGTCGCAGTTCCTGTAGTATTATATTATGGAAGAAGATCGTTTGGTTGACCTGACGCTCACCGTTTGACGGCCTCTACCCCGCTTTGTGTGGCTTCAGGCTACCAGATCCTTCGCGGATATTCGGCCGAATCACATGACACCAAAATCATTCCATAGCTTCTCTCAGGAAGATTTTCACATGATTGTCTTTACAGCAGTTTCATTCAATTACAACTCCCACTATTCACCTAAGTCTTTTGATATGTGTAGCGCGGCCCTAACGAACTCATCACCCTTAATTCCCGTGGTTTGACGTAGAACGGTTCTGTCGCGTCGAAGTACTCGTTGTAGTAGTCTTTTGTCATTTGGTGCTTTTCGGCTCAATCAATATCTGGAAATTTGAAGGAATATCAAGTTATCTCACCTTCATAATCCAGTCTACGGGCTCGGACCTTGTGGTATTTCAGCATCAACTCAGACAAACACCTCTAAAACCACCACGAGTGACTCACCATTTCTCAATCCACGTAATCGTCCCAGGCGAATCATGCACTTGATACATCTCAAAGTGCATCAACTCAGGCTCCCTCTTCATCCTCTCTATCGTCGGCTCGGCGGCTTCTAGGAACCTCGCCACGTCCCTCGGCCGGACGTGAACCGTTACATGGAAAACCGTCGACATCGTAACTTGAATACGGGCTGCGATCCGATGAAGTGGATTGTTTTGTCAGACGAAAGTCGTCGTCAAAGCTACGGAGCTATGATCCCGGGGACCGCAAGCTTTATGGGGCACGCAACAACAGTCGCCCCGCACGTCCGAGGTCAAGCCCAACGGTAGCTCAGAGGGTGAAACGTCTGATGTCCGACCAGCTCCGATAGATGTCTCGCCGGAAATCCGAACGTGCACTGGCGTGAACTTGGGTGATGTCATCTCACTGTTGTCTACGGAGTTAAGGCAGGCTTGTTGTTTAACCTTTGATTGGCTATGGGGAAGTATGTGATCAAGATGCTCCGACGGTTGATCAATGCGCTGACCTTGATGGAGCAACCTCTGAATGCGAGACGCGATGCTTCTCGGCAACCCCCTCGCTCCATGTCCTTCGGCCCTCTCGCTTCGAGACGAGCCATGCAAAGAATAGTATGATTGTAGCGACCAGAAGAACACCACACGCAAGTGCTAGTGTGACAACGCAAGGCCCATAGTACGTTTTCAAATCCCAGAACGTCGCCGTTCTGCTCCGAGACGTACCTACCCACACAAGAATCCGTGCCGGCGTGCCTTTTCGTATCTTTTCGCAAAATCCAAACACGCAGCCCACAGCGGCGATGGTGAAGATGAAAGACAAGACGGAGAAAGTTAAGATGGCGATATAGATGATTCGATTGCCTTTAATCAACCATGCTATCGCCAGGATAATCGCCACACCAGTCGTCGCTATTGCAACAGCTGGAAGGACAAATCCCAACGTCAAGTCTCGCGCGCTGCCGGCCGTGTTAAAGGAAGGGAAATCCTCATTCAGACCGCGCATGACCACGGCGGGGTTGTAGCCTGATGTGCCGTTGCCTTTGACACAGCCTTCCGGGTGCGTTCCCCTATGCGCGAATTAGTCACTCAGCCTATTTGTAGTCGGAAGCAGATCAACTCGTCTCATGGGTACTTACCATACTTCACTTGTATGTTGACACCAGCCCCAGAGCCCGAATTGCACTCTGATCTCTCCGCCAGTCGCTCCTCTACGATCGTTGTGAGCATCCACAGTGAGGAGAGGCAAGCTAGTGTTTGGAATGGACGCGCAGGTGACAATGAGGAGGGCGAATGCCACAACCAACGTTAAGGCACCGACCGCAGTCAACAATCGAGCACCCATGATGATCAATCGAAGCAAAAAGGTTGGAGAGGTCCTTCGGTGTGTGTGTACGCAAAATCTTCTTTTGATTGTGATAGAAGAGAGTTCTGGTTAAGCCTGAACGACGAGAATCCCATGATAGCTTTATACAGACAAGATGGATCAACGGAGTAAGCCTTTTTGACAACTCGGAATCCTTCTGCCACATGAGCAGGGCGAGATCGTTATTGCGATGGCGTGATGGTGTGTCACTCTCTCTTTGCAAGCGGGCGTGGTCTATGGCTTGTGTCTAAGAAACTGACGTCAAGTTGAAGCTGGGCGCGAATCCGTCGCCCAATCATTTGTGGATAATAGGATTCAGGATGAATGATCGTCGGCTGTCAGCACTTCATGTTGACAGTGCTAGTTCAAATACACTAGAGGCTACGCCACATTTCGACTTTTGCCCCTCAACCTCTCAGGCTGGAATTCTTTCTTTCAGCTCCTCAGCCACAAGCGGGATCGCTCGAGTGGTCTCGGGCGCCGCCCGCCAAGGCCAACACACATCATCGTTGGATAGATGCAGACGTACTTCGGAAATAATCAATCGCCCTTTTTGATTGGTTTTCAGACTGGTCAAAAAAGTATTCTCAAGATTTTGGAATTCTATGAATTTGCCACATGTAGCATAATAAGAAGGGGGTATCTTTATCTCTCCTAAGCCGACATGGCAGGTCGCGTCTGCTCATCAACAACCTCCCTGAAGATCTGGTTTTTCTTCGCCACATCAGCCGTACCGCTACGGTCGCCAAAGACCTCGTCCATCTGCTCCAGGGTTCGGCCAGCAGTCTCGGGAACCAACCACCAGACCCAGACGAAGGACAGCAAGCAGAAGACGGCGAAGAAGATGTAGGCTCCGAAGCCGGTGTTCTGGACGAGAGGAGGCGTAATGAGACCGATGATAAAGTTGTTGATCCAGTCTGAATTATTGTTAGTCTCTGAATAACGAGAGAACATTGTGTCGCGGATAACTTACTGGAGCAAGTGGAAAGGGCAACACCCTTGGCACGGAGAGAGGACGGGAAGACCTCGGAAGGCATGGCCCAGGGGACAGGTCCCCAGGAAGCGCCGAAGCTGAGCATGTAGATCATCAGGAAGGTGACACTGACCCATCCCTGGGTCGTGTAGCTCGGCCAGTCGTGGGAGTAGACACCAACAAGCGCGGCGATAATCGTGTGGGACACAAACATGAGGGCACTGCCGATAAGGAGGATGGAGCGACGTCCGAAGCGGTCCATGGTCCACAGACTGGGAATGACACCAACCAGCTGAACACAGTTGAGAACACCAGACATGATGAGCTGCATGTTGCTGTCGAGTCCCATGGTCGCGAAGAGGGTGGGGGAGTAGTAGATCAACGCGTTGATACCGACGAATTGTTGGAAGAACTATTGTCCAATGTGGTTAGTGTCTATGATTCCACTTTTTCCTTTTGGGCCAGTAGCAAACTTACCATCAACAAAACTCCGACTTGGGTGCGCTTCCAGCAGCCAGCCTTAAAGCAATCGGTCCACGAGGCAACCTCCAGCTTCAAGCTGCTTCCAAGGTCGTTGTTTCCAACAAGAGTCGGGTGGCGCTCGGCGGACACCGAGGTCTGGAAGCGAGCCTCGGCGATGATCTCCATCCACTCGCGGCGGACGCGGGGGTCGGTGTCGGGCAGCGTGCGGAGCTTGGACAGGTTATGGAGGGCCTCCTGTTCGCGGCCCTTGGACGCCAGCCATCGGGGAGAGTATGGGAGAAAGACGGCGCCGAAACCAAGGAGGAGACCGGGGAGGATCTGGATAAGGAAGGGGAGTTGCCACGACCAGTGGTTCGGGATGCTCTTGGTTCCGTCTGTGATGCATCAGTTAGGATTGCTCATAAAGCCGAGTTTCTTGGGCTACTTACAGGTAATCCAGAATGAGATGACAATGCCGACGACAATTGAGAGCTGCTCAAAGACCAAGAGGGAACCACGAATCTCGGGAGGCGAGATTTCAGAAATGTACAGAGGGACGACCATCGACAACCTAGATCAGTCAGTTTACGAAGATCGATTGACAAAGCCTGTAAAACTCACATGCCGATGCCCAATCCTCCGATGAAACGACCACCAACCAGCATGTCGTAGTTGAGCGCAGAAGTCTGAATAGCGGAACCAATTGTGAAGACGACAACAGCAACCATGATAGAGCGCTTGCGAGAGATCCAGTCGGCGATCCAGCCCTGGTTAAGCGCGCCGATGAAGGCACCAAGGGTAATCATGGCCGTCATCAGACCCTTCTTGAAGCCAGAGCCGGCGGCGTGATCGGAGACTTCGGGGAATCGCTCGAGGAACTGGTCCATGACCAACGTGACGCTAATGACACCTTGATCGTAACCGAAGAGTAGACCTCCAATTGCCGAGAAGGCTGCGCAGAGGGCTACATAGTGGGAGGAGAAGATTCCGCGAAATCCTACGTCGAAAGTGAGCGCGAGTTGGAGAGTCTAGCAGGTGGTGTTTGCGTACCTGAGGGTCCATAGGGATCGAGAGCATCATCGGAGAGAACTGTCTCTTGTTGCTCGGTCGAGGCGCCGAACTTGGTCGACGACTTTTCCAAGTCGGAGGCTGATGCCGGTCGATGAGCCATGATGAACCGCGTGTGTACCGTATGAGTCTGAGTACAGATTTGTTAGTTCATGACATTCTGAGATGGTATTGATGTGAAACGGAAGCCTGACTAAGCTGGGCAACGCTTAGGAGGCAGGCCGGATTGGGATGAACTCACTTTGGGTAGTGTTGATATGCAACCCTGCGAGCTGGGACCAAGTAATGGGGAGAATGAAAAAGCTCAATCCAGTCTGTGAACCGGAATCAAGTACGGGGGGTATCAAAATATGTTGGTGAGAAGGGAGCTTGGGTCGCACTCGACTGAAGTCTCAAGAACGCAACACGACTTGCAAAACATGGCACGACGACGTCTTTATAGACTTTTCCGCTGGACCTCGCGTTCTCCCCTTCGGTTTCCCCAAATTCCTTGGCCAGGGCCAGCCCAGCTGGTCCCGAAGACGCCCGTTCCCAATTGCACGGCATCGAAAAAAACAAGACAAGGGCAATGGGCGCCCCACTGCGCTTGGAAAGCCGTAGATACTCGACGGGACCTACGTATGGAATAGCCGCAGCGAGCCAATGGCCACGCGCTAGTTGTCACACACACACACGTACACACACTTGTCTCTCCCAAAAACAGGCACGCACTCCTCACACATACACGAGCCGCTAAATCGTGGGGGAATTAAAAGAGGGTTTCTGGGGAATTGGAGAAATGGGGAATCCGTGTCAGCGTTCGCTCCGCTTCCAATACGCGGGCTGTCAGTGGCTGCAGGGGGGCGTGGTCACAGGGACGCTGGACCTATGGATTCCTCTTATTTTCGGCCATCAGTCCGGGTACCGCGAATTACGACCGGGGTTATGCCCGCCGCAGTTTTGGAGAAAACTTGGCCAAGGCTGGATATTGAGACACAAGTTGTCGTTGCCGGTGGGTTCGCATCACAGCAGTCTGCTGCCTCTGCAGACAACACGTTGATGGCCGATGACAGCGCCTGACGGACGATCCCTGCTCCGCCCCTGTCCTCGGCAGTGGTCCGTTAATCGAGCGCCCGGAGGTGGGACTATGGAAGGACTTCGAAGATGGAACCGCCGTTCTGTTATGTTCTGTCTCCTGACTGATAACAGACCGTCTTTCCATACACCGCCAGGGGGTGGTTGTTGGAAGATTCTCGCAAGTGAGTTTGGCCGTGGGGGATGGAAGCTTTGGTGGGGAAGAACAGTGTCTTCGAGGAGAGGCTCGAAAAGCTCCGGAATCTCGCCGTGGAACACTCCACAGCAGATGGAGAAACCCGGTCTGGGGCGGTGGTCATTGGTCGCTATGGGTTCCTGTTAACGCGAGTCAGGGGCGGGCCGCCTCTCTACGGCTGTAACGTGCATTAACAGCTTCGTCATAGGCTAGGGGGGTTGCCGTCTACCTAGCCAGCTATTCGTGTGTGCTTGCATTGCCGGGGCGGGATGATTTGGTAATTTGGGCCGGTGTAAAGCTCGCTGCGAAATGGGAGCCGGCCTAGGAGCTTTCTTCCTCTTCCACGCGGGGGAGCAAGTCGCCCCGATGCAGCCATTTCCCGTTATCACCAACCAGGAAATGCTTTTATCCCCTCGACCTTCCCTTGGCCACCACAATCGTCTCATTTTCACGAAAGAACAGCCGATTGAAGGTCGCAGACGACGGGGTGAAAGGGTCCAAAATCATGTCGACGACATGTCTGGTACGTGTTTATTCCCACGCGGACTTTTCTTTTAATCTTCATCGTTACCCCAGATTGTCCACACCCGCACGTTTATTTCTACCCCGGATTTCGTCTAAGCAGCCACAAGATCTGAAGTCTGGAGTACATATGTCGTCTGGACTACATGTGGCGTCTGGAGTTTCTTCACTTTTGGGGAGCAAAGTTCAATTGCTGACATGACTTTGTGGTTTCGGGGTTTCTGCTCTGTTTTTGCGTCTGAGCTGGGGAGAAAAATGCCTGAATAGAGAATCCCCCAAAAACAAGTCGGGAATTTGGACCTCATTCAGCATCGAAGACCCGAAACCCACTCAGGCGCAACAACAGCCGCAGAGCCCCAAGGACCGCATTGCCAAAACCAGACCTGCAAAAAGCAACACCTCAAATGCGCGTGGAGCACCGATGACGCCGCCGCTCCCGCTGGTCCGCCGTCCTCTCGGGCCGACACCACCAACACCACCACCACAGCAGCAGCAATCTCATGTATTCGATGCAGAGCGACTGGCAAGGACTGCGTCCCGGCCCCCGCTATTCGGTTCAAGCACTCTACCGAGTAAGGCGGAGCTCCCTCTTGTCTTTTCCTGCGCCGTGACCGACATGCGAAGTTTCCTGTTGCAGCCGGCCCTTGCCAATGGACAAGGACCACGAGAATGACACGCCCCCCGGGGGCCCGGTTCCGCGATGGACCCGGTTTCTGTCGTTATCGTCGGCCTCTCGTCACGCGGACCAAGGAGCCAGCAGCGGCAGCCAGCTAAAGTGCGTTATTTTTCAATTGCGGAACAAACCGCTGATCACTTTTGTGTTATCGTCAGGACGCCGAGTGCATCGGAGACTTGGGTGCGCTACCCGCGGCGTTGTAAGTGGTTGCCCGCAACATTTTCGTGCTTTTCGTCTATCGTGCTTCTTGGCGTGTATGCTTGAGAATGGAGACCCCCGATAAGCCTCATCCTCATCTTGTTTTCGTTTTCGATCATCGACGTTTAGTGTGTGTGACTTGTAAAGATTGACAAACGTTGTGTGCCTGGCAGTGCATTTCGTCGATGAGACGCAGGAACTCGAGGCCCTCTATTGGTCCGAGGATGGAAGCCCGCCCTTCATGAGGCAGGTCGATGCGCCGGCTCAGGAGCAGGCAGTCGTGCAAGCAACCTCGGAGAGGTCGAGGAATTCGTCAGTTCAGCAAACTCTCCATGAGCATCTTCCCCCCGCCGCCATCAGTCCGTTCAATCAGCCTGCTTCAACTCCAGCCACGAGTTGGAAGGAGGTGCAAACACCTACGCCGTTGCCTACGGTCTACAGCTCAATACCGCCCGGCTCAACACTTGGACTGGCCAACTATGAACATCATGGGGACGTTGTTTTTCCCTTTACGCAGCCCCATGAGGTGAGGTTGATGAAGTATTACCTCGAATACATGTGCACCTGGGTCAGTCTTCATCCATGTATGATCCATCACCACGTATCTTGGTCTAAGAAACAAACAGTTCGACCTCTGTGACGCCCGCCGCCACTTCGCCATCGTCGTCCCTCAGAGAGCAATAACCTGCCCGACCCTCCTCAACGCAATCTTCGCCCTCTCATCCCGCCACCTCAGCCTGCACGATCAATACGACCCCTACGCCTCGGACCGCTACCACCAGGAATGCCTCAAGCACCTCACCACGATCTCCAACGACTCCTCGGCCCTGACAAATGACGACCTCCTCGCCGCCACCATCCTCCTCCGCACCCTCGAGGAGCTCGACGTGCCCCTCATCGGGACCGACCACGAGGGCCACCTGCTCGGCATCCAGCTCTTCATGAACACGCAGAACGGCGGGCTGCCGCGCCAGAGCCAGTTGCGCCAGGCCTGCTTCTGGGTCGGCCTGCGCCAGGAGATCACCATGGCCTTCGCCACGCAGCGGCCCATCATGGTGAAACTCGACCACCTCTTCATCGACCGCTCGTTCTCGCCGGCCGACGACGACTGCTGGGCGAACCGCATCGTGGTGCACTGCGCCGAGGTGGTGCAGTTCTGCTTCGGCGAGGTGGACAACCGCAAGCGCGAGTACCAGCGGCTGGTGGAGTACGACCGCAACTGGTTGAGGGCGCGGCCGTTGTCGTGGTTGCCGATTGCATATAGCGAGCCGGATCCGGCGGCGGATCAGGCGTTTCCGCGGATCTTCTATATCAACCATGCTGTTGGTAAGTTGGCCACGTGTTCCAGTGTTACTGCAAATACTGACTACTGACTAACTTTTGATAGTCATCGGCAACGTTCATGGCACTCTTGCCCGGGCACTCCTCATGTGTCACGATGAAAGCATTCCACGCATAGGACCAGCCCGCAGACTGGCGAGGCAAAAGCTGGATGTAAGTCGTCAACCCTCGCAACTGACTTTTGCAAGTGACTCGCTAACTAATCGACACAGAACGACATTAGAACGCAAATACGAGAACTTTGCGGCACCGCTCTCTCCAACAAGGACACAATTCCAGCCATGTTCACGGCCTGCATGGGCGTGACCGCGTGCGGCGACCGGTTCACCGACCACGTGGAGCAAAGGGCTCTTCTCGACATCTTGGTCAAGACGGATGTGCACCACATGTGGCCGACGGCGTCGGCGCAGTCGCACCTGAAGCGGGCGTGGGGTTGGGAGGACGAGTCGTGAGACTCTAGCTGTTTTCGAAAATGTTGAAGACACTTTGTACTGAATTGTAGAATATCCACTTTGATGAGTGGGTTGTCAATAGTCCCGGGACCTACGAACAAAGTGAAAATGAAAACGCATTAAGAACTAAAAGTCTGCTAGGTTCCATTTCCGTTGCATCTTAGCAGGTGACTGAGTCTCTGACTGGCCAATTCCATCAGAGTTCGGCAAACTTGCCAGATAGTCCCCCTTGACGAATGATCACGCAGACAATGTCATACACAGCATATTTCCCGACAACCAACCCGAGTGCGAAAAAGGACTTCTGTTCGGCCAAGGTAACCTCAACTTCTCCAAACCACAATTACCCCAGAAACTTATTAGCTCCCCGCGGCCCCCCGGACCCCAGATTGTGAGGGGAAGAGAAGGGGGAACGGGCTGGGGGTTGGGGGTGGGCGTGGATGAGTTCCATGAATGCGGAGAAACCAAGATCACAGATATTGGCATCTTGACACCATGCACGCTGAACCCCATAAAGTTTCATCGCATTTGGGCCGAATCTCTGATTAGTCTTCGGCCCAGCCGTTGGGGTAGAGGGTGCCAAACGATGGCGTCGGCAACCACCAAACCCCGCGACCCCATTTCGGACTAAATTTCCCTTTCGTCTAAATCCAGCATCGGGGCAATTTTCCCCGATCAGGACAGCATCCAATCCGCATCTTCGCTTTACACATCCCCGGACCCCCCACCTGCTCTATCCAGAAAACACGGCAACTATCCCCTACAAAAATCAGGGTCCGTCGTCTTACACCAAGTTTCGCCTCAATGCCAATGGCCATTTTAAGCCTCTCTCCAACTCCACGTCTTCAACATCCCCAACCTGCCAGCGCGTCGCTTCTGTTGAAACCGCGTCTTGCCAAGTGGGCTTTTTTCATGGTCTTCAACATGGCGCTTCTACTTTCCATAGGCCAATTCCTGGGTTTCCCTATCCACGAGGATGGCTTAATTGGACAGGCGGTCGGGCTCACCTGCTGGCGTCAGTGGCGTCTGCCCCACGGGTAAGACATCATGTCGGGATCCGAATCCCGACATGGATGCGATGAAGAAAAATAGAAAAAAATATGTCGTGGCGCGTGAAAAAGAATCGGTGAGGCCTGCGTGAAAGGCGACGGTATATAATCCGCCCAGTCGCCTTCCTCTGCATCCTTCCGAGATGTCTTAGCAGCTCCTCTCGTTCATCCCCATTCCAGTGATACCCCCGCGGCTGTCCACCACCTCCGGCCTCACCTCGACGACCGCCTCCATTCCACGACGCCCTCACCTCCCATCACCCCAGCTGCCGTCCCTCGCTCGGCCAGTCAATCCAGATCCAGAAGCACACAGACAATGTCAACACAAAAGCTCCACGTAGGCGTCGCAGGCCTCGGCCGCATGGGCAAGCGCCACGCCCTCAACTTCCACCAGAACGTCCCCCGGGCATCCCTCGTCGCCGTCTCCTCCCCCGACGCCGCCGAGCGCCAATGGGCCTCCGAGACCCTCGCCCCGCACGGCGTCGCCGTCTACGAGTCCTACGACGACATGCTCGCTCACGCCGGTCTCCAGGCCGTCTGCGTCGCCTCCGCCACCGCCGTCCACGCCGAGCAGGCCATCAAGGCCATCGACGCCGGCAAGCACGTCCTCTGCGAGAAGCCCCTCGGCACGACTGTTGAGGTGGTGAGTTGACACCGTCCATCCTTCCCCCAAACAATCGCCGAGACACCAAGACTAACACCACGCAAAGTCCCAAACAGTAGTCGATGCATCCGTCCGCCGCCCCGAGCTCAAGGTAATGTGCGGCTTCTCCCGCCGCTTCGACGCCTCCTACCGCGACGCCCACGCAAAGATGTCCGCCGGCCTCATCGGCCGCCCCGCCGTCCTGCGCTCCCAGACCTGCGACGTCCTCGACCCCACGGGTTTCTTCGTCGCCTACGCCCAGTTCTCCGGCGGCATCTTCGTCGACTGCTCCATCCACGACATCGACCTCGCCCTGTGGTTCTTCGACGAGGACAAGAGCAAGGTCAAGTCCGTCCACGCCGTCGGCATCACCGCCGTCGAGCCCGACCTGCGCAAGCACAACGACCGCGACAACGCCGTCGGCACCGTCGAGTTCTACGACGGCCGCATTGCCTACCTGTATGCCTCGCGCATGATGGCCGCCGGCCAGGAGGATTCGACTGAGATTATTGGCACCAAGGGCAAGCTGACGGTGAACCTACTGCCCGCCGAGAACCACGTCAAGATCTACCAGCCCGGCGGCATCAGGCAAGAGCTGCCCCAGACCTACTGGGACCGCTTCAGGGCGGCGTTCACCACAGAGGCGATTGAGTTCACAGAGAGCGTGTTGGAGGACAAGCCCGTGCCGGTGAAGCTGACGTCTGCTGTTGCGGCGGTCAAGATTGGCGCTGCGTTACAAGAGTCCATGATCACCGGGCAGAAGATCTGGTTCGACGAGAGTGGAAACCGGACAGAGAAGGCTCAGTTGTAGTCTATTCATATCAAAGCCTTAGACGACGGCCATGTGCAATAAAACCCTGGAAATGGGTGCCTTGTCCTTGCCGCCAACACTTGATCATGCCAAATCCTTCAGTCGTGCGTAACCATAGACATGCGTGGTCTAAAACTTCTCAAAACATCGAATCGGGCTTGGTAGCCTCTTCCACACATTGTACATCTCTCAAGACTGAACGCAGTCAATGTTGGGTGCATCCGCGTCATACATCTTCTTGGAGGTCTTCGCGCGCTCTGCGATTGTATTAGCAATCTGGACACAGAACACAGGCAAAGGGAACAGAAGTCTAGTGTGGTGAAGGGGTCTACGCACCACCAGAAAACAACTTGTTTCACAGACTTACTTGTAGTCTTGACATTGAGCCTTCCTCTTTCCACCTCTCGGGCCGTTTTGTGATCCAACTTGGGGCCGGTCTCAGCCGAGGCTGGGGCGGAAGTGGGAGTAAAGACCGAAGCCGGAGCAAAGGCTGAAGCAGGAGCGGAAGCCGGAGAAGGGGCTGGAGACGGTGCCCGGACGGGCTCTTTGCGGGGAGCTGGACGCTGGAGGGGCTCCTTGTGGGAGGAGGGCATGGTTCGGGACCCAGTAGCGGGGTTGGTATCGGCGGTTTGCTTCAACACCGGTTGCTCGTTGTGGACTTCGTCGGGCACAAGAGAATCCTGCTGGATGGAAGTGCTACCAAAGGCATAGCTACCACTGCGTCTGGCAGGCAATTCCAGGGTATCATCTTGTTGGATGGATGAGCTGCTAAGGTGATACCCTCCACTTCGTCGATCAGTTGGCAGAGATGTGGCTGGCTTTGAATGAACATCGCTGGTACCAACACCTCGGGTGTGGCCTGCCAGGGACGCCTCGAAGCTGCCAGGCACATGGAATCTCGTCTTAGTCTTGTGGGCTGTTTGGTCAGGAGGTGTCATCTTGCTCTGAATAGAAGGTCGCGAGGGGATGACACGACCCTTCTCCCGGATCTCGCCTTCCTCAGATCCCTCTTCGCAGGATTCGAATGCCTCCGAACCATCATCGGACGGCGAAGCCTTGCCACTGGGTGTGGGGAAAGGCGTGGGAGCCCAAGATGACTTCACTACGGGGGTCGGCTTGGTGGCAGTTCCTCGCTTGATGGAGAGGGCAGGGAACTTGGGAGGGAATGCTCGCTGGTCTTTGAAGGCGAAGTTGAAAGCGCTGGCATCTTTCAATGATGAAACGAGTTAGTTGTGGTCTTCTTGAAGCTTTTGCTTCGTCTCTGAGTGTGATAGGCTCGAATTTGGGGGAAAAGAAAAACAGGTCTGTACATACCCATGCCGCGGCTAAATCGTGGGCCAGCAAAGGGAGTAGATCCAGCATCAGCGGTCCGCATCGAGTCGGGGCCAATAGCTTCGGCCGCACTAGGAGGACTCTCCAACTTGATTTTCTTGGACGTATCCGGAGTCTGCGGGCCCTCGCTTGCGCTCTCCTGGGCAGGTTTCTTCGATACCGGGGTGTCGAAGGTTGGGAAGTCGATAGCGGAGTCGTTGACCCTATGCTGCTTCTCGGCGTCGGCTAACTTCTTCTCGGACTCCTCAGTCACTCGCGTGATCTCGCTAACGGCAGTCGACAGGGTGTCGAAGCAGAACTTGGGGTCGTCTTGAAGAAGATTGCAGAAGTCTTGCTGCTGGAGGAGCATGCACAGGTGAGGTCCAATGGCCTTCTGGAACTCCTGCTTCAGGTCGTCGTGGGCGTCACTGGCCTCGTCGACGATGATGTCGGCCACCGCCATGAAGTCTTCCAACATATCGACGCGCTTATCGAGGATGTCGCTCAGGTCACGGCCGACACGAGAAGCGAGTTCAGCCGTGAGGTCGGACACGCCAAGAGACGCGGCAACGTCGTGGATCGTGAGGAGATCGAAAATCTCGGGCTTGTGGGGCAGCGCATCATCTGAAAGTTGTCAGTTGGAGTTGGCAGAAGAATTGGCGCAGGATCTGTGAGTTTACCTCCGACGTACAACCACTTGAGAACGGTTTCCAGTGCAGGAGCTTTGAAGAGGTGGTCCTTCAACGCGAATTTCTTGACGCGGTCGTCCTGGTAGAACACGTGGTTAGCAAAGCTTCTGTCGAATGCAATAGGCAAAAACAAATGGGAAGTGAAGAGGAAGTTTGAGTTACCATTGCGGCCTTCTGATCGACGAGAAAGTCTACCATCTCGCTCCTTCCTCGGATGACCTTGTCGTGCAGCTCCCACTTTTCTTCGCCCATCATGAGCCAGATGTCGGCATCCTTTTTGGTCTCCCAGAGGCTACGAGACTGTCAGCAGGTGCGAAGAAAAAACTCCCGATTGATTTCTTACGAGGCGATGTCGGGATCAGCCATGGCGAAAGACTGGGGAGTTGATCCCAAGTTGGTGTGGTTGTCGTATTTTGGCATGTGCTGGTGTGCCTTGGAGGGATGGGGAGAAGGAGAAGATATTTCCAAGCTGAAAACTCGGTACGAGGCAGAAAATA